TTCCTAAGTGAGTTTTATTGATCAAATAAAAATAACATCTATTTATTTTTTTTATAAAACTAATATCACGTTTATGATGATAGTTTCTGTCTTTATATTTAGGATCATTTTTAGTTGGTCTATAGTCATAACATGCTTTTGTTAAGTCATCGATGTAATCATATTTAGGATTAAAATCAGAAGTTTGAAGTGCTAATGATTTTAAGCATTTCTATAATTTTTCTTGATTGGGTTTGGATATTGTGATTAAATCATCTATTTTTGTTTCAACGCTTTTTAGTTCATGGTCTTCATTGATCAAATAGTAATAGCATCGATTTAATTTTTTTATGAAGCTAATATTACGTTTATGATGATAGTTTCTGTCTTTATATTTAGGATCATTTTTAGTTGGTCCATAGTCATAACATGCTTTTGTTAAGTCATCGATGTAATCGTATTTAGGATTAAAATCAGAAGTTTGAGGCACTAATGATTTTAAGCATTTCCATAGTTTTTTTTGATTTGGGTTAATTACTGCAAACAAATTTTCTACCATAGTTTTCACACTAAATGGGTTACTTTTTCCTACCATATAATAATGGCATCTCATTAATTTTCGAACAAAAGAAAGTTCATGATCGGGTTCAAATTTTTTACCAATAAATTCAGGATCAGAATCTGTTACCCAACCTTTTTCATAACATGCTTTTGCTAGAATGTCCATACTTCCATATCCAAGGTTTCTATTAAAAGATTTAGGATCATTTATCTGAGTCTTAGGGTCTAATTTTTTTAAGCATCTTAATAAGTTTTCTTGAACAGGACCAGTTATTCCGATTTCTTCACAGAATTTTACTAATTTTTTGAGCATCGATATCAAACTATCGCCAGTTTAGAATGGTATTTCTAGCAACTTCAAGCATTCTTTAACTTCTTGTTTAATAGTGTTTAGAATGGTATCTAATTTTTCGATTGTTGTCAAATTTTCTATTTCGGTAATGTTGATGCTAAGGTGAGAAGATAGGATTTCGTTTATTTTGTTTTCAGTTTGTTCTTTATGTTTTTCACATTCTTTTGCTTGATTCTCCCACTTTTCCGAATTTTGCTTCTATTCATCTCTATTTTTTGTTATATCTTCCGTGTTTTTTTTCCATTCATCTCTATTTTTTGTCATTTCGGTTAATTGAGATTGTAGTTCGTTGATTCTTTTGTAATCTGTATTATCGATGATAACAGTTTGAGTTACGGAAGTATAATGGTTAACAACATTCGGTCGTCTCCATCCACCTCCACCTCGTCTTCCACCTCCACCTCCACCACCTCTTCTTCCGTATCCAAACCCTAAAATACACTATCCGCCACATTTGAAACACATTGTTTTTGTTTTGATTTGATTTTTATTTTCTTCTTATTATTTTTATTTATTTATAATAAATTAAATATATACAAGATAATTTAAAATTGAATTTTGAAAATATCA